CCCATCCCCCCTCTTCATCTTCGAACGACTCATAATTGATAATATGGTGTGAAGAAGAAGGCATTGTAATTGAATTGACAAAAGAGGGAAAGAAGAAAGTTGATCTTATTGGAAATCTCAAAAGTACAGCAGAAGAAAAAAGAACAATGGTGGAAGTAAGCCAATTTCGAAGAGAGTAAATAATTCGTAAAGTAAAAATTCAGAAAGGGAAGAACCTGTAAAAATTCAAATAAGGAAGAACCTGCCTCTTTATAAAATAAAATTGTGGGATCGGATCAACACAACTTTTCAGAGAAAAACAATCGTTTGAAAATTAAGGTGGTCCCACTGGTTCGATCAGGGCACGATGAATGGTCACATGGATGCCACATCATTTGAAATTCAGCGAGTGACTTTTGAGGAACAGATACCCTTAAATAGAAAATTGTTCGTCTATCATCATTATATACCTGGGGAGACATGCCTCTTTGATATCTGCGCGAGTGGACGGGCAATTTCTTAGACAACCCAGAACGTCCAAAGATGAGACTCGAAAATAACAACCCAAAATGTTATCCCCGAGCTGGGGGGCCTGTATGTTGACATTTAGAAGAATTCGGAGGAATAATACTGTTGTGTGCCCGATTGGTTTAACTATTAAGTGCGGGTTGGAAGATTAAGAAGTGACGCACTGACGTGGAATCTAACGAGGGCGAAGTTCGACCTAAAAGGACAGTCGATTAAAGGATCGACCAACAATGAGGAGCAACACGGTCGAGTTACAAAATCCATGCAGGTCAAAGAGGAACATCACCAAGTCGAACTCGGACCCTCGGACAAATCGATGAAAGAGTTTCGACCTGGATGTAGTATTAGTCGAAAGAACCGATCAAACGAACATGACGTTGAAGGTCGCAAAATCACGTGGTCAAATGATAACCCAATCGGATGACCGCTGGGCAGAATAGCCGAACACGTTACTTGAGTAGATTAAAAGGGAAGCATGTGCAACGACCCGAGCCGGACATACTGAGGTGGTAGAAATGCTTAAAATAACGACAACTTGTGCCCGCATCATTAATGACGGGACAAGCCTGACAAGAGCCTGCCCGCCTACGCCAAGAAGTGTTATAGGGTCATATGGAACATTTAATGCTTGTCTTTTCCATTTAATGCATAATCGTACTGCCCGATAAATAGTTGTCTTAAGGATTCATTGTAAAAGAGTTCAGAAAAAATCTAGTAATCAAGACAACATCAAAAACTGGTGATCCAACCTCATTCACAGAAACAAAAATCTCATTACTATTCACTTCCGCACAAGTTAATTACAAAGTATCATGTTTTATTAGCATAATCGCTCGATTACCAGCACTAAATAGGTGCTTTGGGTTGATTTCCGATATCAACAACTTTACAATTGATAATAATTGTAGTAGTATTTGATATTTTTATTACAAATTTTGGTTGTGTTGTGTACAACAGAATTTGACATGATTTTTTGAAAGCTATTCAGCCCATCAGAGGAGACATCCAAACTCCAGGAATCCCATGTTAAATAAATTCGATTAATGTACTACTCCTATAATATATATCTCCCCATTGTTCCATTATAACCCAATATATACAAAATGTTCAAAACTCTTACTGAGCCAAAAAAAAAAAAAGCACCCTTCAAAACAGTCGGGACTGAACAGCTTCAAAAGAATGCTTCATACGACGCCTCAAGTCAAGTGCCCCTAAGGTGACCAAAACCGTCCAATTAGTGTACCTTCACCACCACAGGACTTCTACCCTTCGACATAATAATATATACACCGACCGACCCACCATCCAGAAAGGGGGGCAAAATAAAAAGAAAGCAATCACCAATTAGCGTAACTCTATACTGTTAGAAAATTTTTTGGGGAAAGAGGGATATGATCAGTCATTGAAACCTACAAGACTGATAGACTTGATTATTTCAAGCATCTTGTGAGATAACATTTTTAGCTTTCGCATTGGTGAAGTCGTCCAAACTCCGGTATTCTTCCCTCAGCAGCTTATCCAATTCGAAATGCTTCTTTAGCGGTCCCATATGGCCACGAGCCTCTCCGTAATGGTGGAAGGCCCTGTTCAAGTTAAAAGATGTCCTAGTGAAAACCTCAAGTACAGGGTGCGGATCCAAAAAATAAATAAATATAATTTTCAATAATATTGCATATATTATTGCATATTTAATATATATATATATATATATATATATATATATAAGACGTAAAAGTGGCTGAACAAATTAAACACAAAACTCATTAACGATAAGTACTAAGGTTCTTCAAATTTCCCTTTCACTCCTATTAAACTGCGTACCGCGCCTGCACTCCTATTTCAAATTTATCGCTTTTTAAATATTCACATACCTCAAACATTTCAAATTAATTAAACCCTCAATCACCAAGAAAAGATAAATAAATATTATATAAGATTGTGGAAAGAATGCTTACAGAAAATGTACTTGTAGCTGAAAACAACTAGTAGTTAGACAAATACAATAACTAGTAGTGATTGTGGGGACTAGGGTGTAAAATATATAACATATGCTTACATGGTGAAAAAATAAACAGTATTTTTTTTAAGTAAATGTAAATTCACCTATGTTTAAGTAACAAATGAAGTAGGAAAGAGCTGTAGAAAGGTTAAGAATTACCAATACTTCTCCAGGCCATAAAGGTTCCCTTTTTTATAAAAATCAAGTGCCAACTGTTCAAAGTCCTCATAGAGGTCTTCCCTAAACTCCTTCTCCAATCCGTAACTGGTATTCAAGGGAAATAATTACATCATCATCATCATCATCATAATAATAATAATAATAATAATAACAACAACAATAATAATATAATAATAATAATAATAACAACAATAATAATATAATATAATAATAATAATAATAATAATAATAATAATAATAATAATAATAAAGAAAAAAAAAAGTTTTACAGCAACAGTGAAACAAAAACTGATCAAGGTAACAAAGAAAAAATAACAAACACATGGATTCAATTTTTTATTTATTTATTTTTTTAATGAACATCTTACCTATAAAACCTGAATAGACACTCCATTCCGTAATTGTAATTAGCAGAGGAATCTTCTAGAGCCAAATTCTTGAATTGGTTATACATAGAAGTGATAAACATGTTCCTCAAGAAATAGCACCAAAATCTGTACAATGTGTTCATCTCCTGCAAGTCAAAGAGGTCCATATCACAGACATCAACAACATGCACGTACAGGTTGAAAACAGATAAGAAATCTAATGATTGTGTATAAGAAAAACTTGCAACCATATCTTTGAAAAGATACCTCACTCCGGCCAATGCCAAATTTCTTTCGTTCACTAAGGCACCGCTTTTCATATTTCTTGTACCTGAGAATATCATATTGCGAAATAATAAATTTTAGAAAGCGTAATACTAATAAATTTGGATATATATATATATATATATGTTACTAAATATTATTAACTCCTAATTTCTTGTGCCTGTATTAATATGTCAGAGGTGCCTATTGAGAATTTATGGATTATTTGGAGAACATCAATATCATAATACTAAGAAAAAATAAATAAAAATTGGACACCTAGCTTGCAATATAAGGCATATTAGGTTGGGTTGGAATTTTTTTGGAGGTGTGTGCTAATTATTAAATAAAGACAATCATATCCAAACCTACAGGTCTAATATTAAGGTGTTTATCAATCATATATCAATCTATACAAGGAGAAAAGTATAACCAAGGAAAAAAAAATATACTAGATATGTTCAACTAAGCAGCAAAATATGAACTTGCATTTGTAGCGAATTTTTTTCCCCAGCATGGATCGACTTACAGCTGTTGTTTGAAGCCATTTTCCTGCAGAAGTTTATGACTCGGGTGTTGAAATGTCGGGAATGGCTTTGGCACTGAACCAACTGGTGGACTACTTCCCGAAAGATTGCTCTGAGGTGAGGCACTCAGCTTTGACGGCCTAAAGCTGCAAAAACACACAAAAATAAATAAATTAATAAACAAACCTATCCGAAGGAGTGAAAAAATACTTGAGACAAACATTGATGCACTCACCCATGACTATCTGGAGGTGTAGAGCCAAAGAAAAACCCAACCGCATCAGTAGGTGGGCTTTCAGACATTATTCCATGAAAGTTTCTTCCACTTCCATAGAAAAATCGCTGTCTATGCGTGCATGGCTGCTTTGAGCTGCCTTTTTTTTGCTTCCTTCGAGAACTAGAATTTCCATGTCCTTCAAGATTGCATGTTTCGGCAGTATAGTTGAGGGCTTCCGAATTCAGAGCAGCACTATTACTGTCAGAACATTTGCGGTTTTCATCCTTGCTTTCATTATTAATAGGCGCATTACGTCTACGATGAGACCTTTTAGAGTTCAGCTCCTGTAAAAAAAATATGGTTAACAAAAAAATAATTCTCTTATAGTATGATGCTAAGGTAACCTAGCTCCAAACCTGCTCATAAAAGTAGAGACCGTCATTTATAGCGGAAGCAAGCTCATTGGATATGGTTTTTGATGCCTCACCCGGTACTTCGCCCATCAGACTATTCTGCAGCATAAAAAACCAGGGAGTTGTTAGTTCTAGCAATTAGACAGATATTGTCTCCTCAAGTTCATCCCTGAAGTTTATCACCACCACCATAAACACCACCCACCCCCGGCTCATTGAAAATGCCTTGCATGTTCAAAATAAAGGTTCTATACGGCCCAGGTCACATATAGTTAACTGATATAACACAGAAACAAGTTCAAGTGCTCGCAAAATCTAATTTTACTATCTATGACACTAGGAAGTGAAAGAGAACTGCAAGACAGATAGAGATGGCCCATCAGAAAAATAGTAACAGCCAGCATAGGATTGGACCCAAATTTGGCATGATATATGGATCTCAAACATCAATGAAGCCAAAAGACACTTTCCAGACATCAAATGGAACAACAGATTCAGAGAAACCTCATATAATTGCAAATTCAGTTCATGATTTGGAGGAACAGACCAAAGCCATTACAACCTCATATAATTGCAAATTCAGTTCATGATTTGGAGGAAAAGACCAAAGCCATTACAATTACAGAACAACAGAGAATAATTTATACAAGTAGCTCTCTAGCATGCCTTAAGAAAACCTGTCACCACCTCATGGACCCACCTGAGTGACGATTACAAGCCTCTCCACAGCTTGGTCATTGACAAAGACTTCGTCATCTTCATCATCAACCCTGCAGCCACACAGATTATTTGGAAGACAGATGTGTCAATTTCCTAGGACTTCATCAACTATAACAAAATATCCACGATTAGACCTCAAGCACCAAATCTATGTTTTTAATATATCATATCCATTCCCATCTTTTGATTGCTAGTTGTTGAACCATTTCAAGAAGAATACACTACAAGATTCTTTACTTATAACAAAATACAAAAAACACCACATAATAATCACAATTGGTATATCTGTAAGTTTGGCACAGGGCAGTACAGCTATCAAGTCTACTGACAACCGCAATTTATAATTACATATGCATATTTTTTGCAACCACAGTAATCAGGGATCAGGAGTATAAGCAACAAGGCTTAGGGAAAAAAAATGTGGAACAGATTGGACAAATACAAGATATAGCTCGATTAACAAACTTGGAACATAGAAATCCGGGGACATGCCAAACCTGACACGTGAAAGCACACAATGGATGAAAAGGGGCAAAATCACCTTATCGTCAACCAACAAAATAAAAGTAAACTGCCAAGAGATACGAAGTAGATTGAAGGCAAATAAGAATCCAAGAACCTTTACTTCTCTTCGACACACAGATATTTGCATACAAATGGAGCCAGTAGAAACAGAATTTACTTAGACTCGGTTTTTACAGGTAACAGATGAAAAAGAGAATAGCTTCACCTTCCAACAGAAGAATGATGCTCATTCCCTAACGTTGTATGCTCCGCTTCCAGCTCTTCATCTAGCATAAATGTGTTTGAAACATCACAACACGAATCATCCACTTTCTTTACATTTGGATTTGAAAGAATCTGCCCCGTTCTGCTTCCATGGTTCTCCACAGACTTGCAATTTGACTCTGTAATCAGTTGATTGCCATCATTTCCAGAGTTGAACTCAGAGCCTGTCATGTTTGAATCAACATTTTCAGAAGTGTTTTTTGGTGTCTCACCACTTGGCAGGTCCTTGACTTCATATGCATCGTCCGAGAAGAATTTTTTCCCAATATCTGACCTAAATGGCTGATAGCGCTCAGAGCTTCCATCTAGTGAAAGACATTCCACTTTTCCATCACAATTGTCCCTTTTGGTTTCATCGCGGTTACCATTATTAATGTCACTTCTGATCAGTGATGAAGGTTTACTAGTCAAGTCAGGAACCCACTTTGACCATTCATGGCGTCTCCTCACCTTTTCACCCTACAAAGAGGGGGGAAAAAGCAATAAAGACTGTAAAGCAAATAAGTGTAAAGGCAAGAAAAATAACTAATTCACAAATTAGATCATGCAAAAGCCCTATATGTAATATAATGAATGAGTAGATAACTCATAAAAAACGCATAAGAAGCTGAATTATCATCAAACCTGCACTTCAATAGTGTCGGAAGACTGCAGTGCATCGAGAATAAATGGTATATCCACATTCATATTTTTAACCTGAAATTGCACAAATTTTGAAAGCCATCTTAGTGTAATCATCAGATGGAGGATAATAAGCTTGGAAAATCAAATCAAGCTCATTAGAAAGAGACTAGCAGCAAACTTAGATCCCACGTCTGGCCACCTGACACCCCACACTCGTCCGCCAAGTCATGAGAGATAAGAGAAAAGACGGGAAAGGGGGAAGTATATATATAGAGCGAGAATGGTCAAAACATTAACAAGTGCCTCCAAACACAAAGACTAATTAGTGAAAAGAATGTGGTAAAATGTTACTCTTTGAAAGCCAGCGATAATTGATATAGCAACCCAGCCCTGCTTATCCATCAAGGACTTCAGGTAGTGATCGTACTGCAGATTCTGGTCACTGCCAAAGTAGTAAAGTTAGTGCTAACACGACAACTATTAATCAGAATAAGTCAATTGAGAAATTACACGGTCCATCACATCATCTGAAGTTCAATGTACAGTCATCATCCACATGTCCACATGGCAATGAGTAATCATTACAAATCAGTTTTATGTTGCAAAAATAATAGGATGACTCACCTGAAATAATATTCAATTTGCTTTACAATGCCAGCTCTCAAGGCCATTGTTGGTGAGGGTGGCATGGGTACTCCAGGGTTCACAGGATATGGAACTAAAAATGGTGGGTATTGTAGTCTGACTGAGCCTGGAGGAGGAGCAGGATAGTAATAGATAGTTCCTGGTGGACCTGTTTCATAATTCACATAGTTAGGATAGTATTTTTGAAGAATAATGTAACACAAAAAGGCAGCCAGACAGAACCAATAAAAGAAATCCTATTTTCATGATATCACATTTCTTCAATACAGAAATCAAAATACCTGAAAAATTTGGCCCATTAACAAACTCAGCAGAACCAAGAAACGGAGGCCTTACAAAAGGTCTCGGCCCCATACCTCCTTGCAAACGGAAGTTGTTAGAGGTAGCTGGCCTTTGATTGTTCCAGGAAGCAGATACATGGCCTTGCTCCTCCTTCTTACTCCGTCTTCCACCAGCAGAACCCAAATCACGAGCATTGGAATCGGGCGGTGGTGCTGACTGAGGCTGAGAACTTCCATTCTGTAGTGGAAGAAAAGACAGTGCACGACTGTCGCCAGATTTTCCCAATCGAGTATCAGGTCTCGGAAAAGTCCCTGGGGGAAACTGATAAGGATATCCTGAGGGGTTAACAGGTGGGACGGAAGCCATTGGATGAAAAGGCAGTGCTACTGCTGGTGGATGATAGGGCAAGGGAACAGGAAACGGAGGTACACTATTTGGGCCATGCTTGGGACCACTTCTGTTTTGATGCGTAGAGTTGGGCCTGCGGTGATATTTTGAATTACCGCGTCCATGGAACTTCTGTTGCTCATTTGTAGCCTACAAAGAGACCCAAAACCAGGAGGAGTAAGATTAGCATATTTGAAATACAAAATGTGCATTTTCAAAGGGCTATCTGGAGTTCCTTAACTAACCACGTCAACTTAGCATGTAAGAGAACCAAACTCATATTTATTGTTTGATATTTGATTTTATTGATCATAATTTGGCTTTTTGATTTGTTATCACAATTGATAAACATCAACTTAGCATGTAAGAGAACCAAACCCATATTTATTGTTTGATATTTGATTTTATTTTGATCATAATTTGGCTTTTTGATTTGTTATCGCAATTGATAAACATTATATATGCCACTGTAATAAGTCTGTTAACACGCAAGTTAATTAAACAATATATTTCTAATACTTTTCTTGTACTTTATCACAAATACACAAAAAATAGTGAAAAGGATAGGGACAGTTTTGAAGACACCAAATGCAGTTGTAAACTGAGTACAAATAAATTAGGTAGAGACATATAACTAAATTTCAAAAAATGATCTTTGATTCATCTCTAACGAGAGAGAGAGAGAGAGAGAGAGAGAGAGAGAGAGTCTAACAGGTGGCATCTCTCAACTTCTGGTGCCTGTTCTCTTTTCCGTTATTTTACTCATTAGCCATACACAATAACATAAAACTAATAAAACCATATGCAGATACCAAGTGCATTCCGAGTCACTACCAAAACGTAATTTAAGACAGACAGATGAATTGAAAATTACTCAAAAAAGTTCACCTACCGGCGCAACAGCCGTCAGAGGAGGGCCACATCCATTAGTCTCGGCCTGTGCCGGAGAGGACGGTGGCTTGGCCGACAAGGAATCGGCACATCCATTGCTTTTTGGCCGCTGATGTGCGCCGGACAAAGCCGGCCACGAGTCCGAATCAGCCTCCATCACCGGAGAAGCGGCGGCGGAAGTTTTCCACGGCGACTTGGGAGCCCCCTCAACAACGACGTTGTTCTGATTATCAAGCAGATCACAACCAGCACCAACCCCATTGTCCTCCGACCCCATAATCGCGTGCAGATACAGATATTTATCCGAATTATTCGGGACCAGATCACTGAAACCAAGATCAAAAATTTATTGTAAAGGTGAGACAGAAATTTTAGGTATTCAATTAATTCAATAAAAATAAATAAATAAATCGGAGTGGTTTTTGTAGGACACGGTGGCGGTTATGGCGGAGAGAAGTGGCCGGAGCCGAGAAAAGGGGCGGGCCGGCAGAGGAAGCGAGAAAAGGAGTTGGTGCACAGAGCTATTAGGGTTGTCAAGCCCTTGAGAGATTGACTTTGAATTTTCCTATGTACACGTATTTATAATTTTACATTATACATGTGTGTTTGACGGATTTGTGTTTCCTTATATTTCTTCGCGCGCATTCCAATTGTGTGAATATTAAGGGTGTATCTATGTCAAAATACTATGACAAAATTCTGTTATTGCTAAAGATATTTAAAAAAAAAAAAAATTATATTTTTGGTGTATATTTTTTTTTTATGGTAATAAGTATCTTTACAAAGTACAATAGCAATTATTATAAATTAAATTTTTTATTGTATAAGTTGTTGAAGATTTTGTAGTTGTTATCTCGTTTTTCTGTTTCATTGGTGTTGTACTGTTTCTTTGCCACCGTGTCTTACTTATAAAGGCGCATTTTTTCATTTTTTGTTTCCTTCTGAGTATATCAGCCACGTGTACGTCTGAGATCATTGAGCAACGGTCGTTTTTGGTTAGACTAGTATTTTTTTCCTTTCTTCTTCTTCATTTTAGCTCTGTAGCAAAATCGAAATATAGAGCTGAAATATTGCTCGAAAATCATGTATGTGAATTGGAGTTTTTCTAGATATTTTTTGTTTCGCCATTTCACATGGTATCTAAAGCTTGGTCAAAATCAATCTGATTATGGCGAATCTTTGGAACACCGCCACATGACCGCTGTTGAATGATGACGATGGAAAGGCAAGCTCGTCAAAGCAGAATCTCACTCCTGAAGATTCGAATCAACTCCAGAACTCCGATAATCCAGGAATGATGCTCGTATCACATCCGCTCACAGGAGTTAACTACCGTCCATGGCACAAAACGATGACGATCGCACTATGAGCTAAGTCTAAACTCGGATTATGGAATGGTAAGATCTCTCAGCCTGATGAAAACGATGAAAACTATGAGATCTGGAAGAAAAACGATTATGTGATGACTTTCTAGATTTTGAACACCCTGTCTATAGATATAGTTGAGAGTTTCCTGTATAGAATAGAGCTAAAGAGCTTTGGGAAACTATAGCAATGAGATATGGACAAAGCAAAGGTCCACTTCTGTATATGCTTCAAAGGGAAATTGATAGAATCAATCAAGTTCATAATAGTATAGTCGAGTATTTCTCTCGGATCTAACGACTTTGGGATCAATATGAGAATCTGAAAAATCATATTATCTGTGCTTGTCCAATTGGGAAAAATTTCATTGAAAATGAGAATCAAACGAAATTGCTACAGTTTTCTTAAGGATCTACATGAGATATATGAGCCAGTGAGGTCACAAATACTCCTAATGAAGCTCTTACCTGAAGTTGACAAAGCATATTCTATGCTAGTCAGAGTTGAACAACATAAGACAACAAGCTTGGCCTATAATAATCAGTCTGAAAATGTTCTTACTGGTAGAGGAAATACAGAAAGAGGAGGTCACTTTGTAGGGAGCAAGGGTCCTATCAGGGGAAGAGGAGGATATAGAAGTACTAAAGAAAAAAAGGCTAAGCTCACATGTGAGTATTGCCACATACCAGGTCATGCGATGTCAGAATGCTTTAAATTGCTTGGTGTACCTGAGTGGTACCACAAATTTAAGGAGCAGCAGAAACCAAAGGGATATGCAAATGTTGCACTTGATAAAATTGAGACTCAATCTTCTGTTTCTAAAAATAACTCACAAGGTTTTGCAGTTCTAAGTGATCTCTCTGCGGCCATTCACCAGATATATAATATCAAAATCTCGTAAATAAATATGATGCATATTAAATAATTAGCAGCAATAAACATGAAAATAAATAATTCAGCTATTGTGGGCATTAATAACAATCCAAGAAAGATATGAAGACTGATAATACATTTCATATTGGAACTGACTTTCCTATCAGTCGAGGACTTCTACCTGTCACATGTCCCACGTGCGTAAATTCTTTGGGAAAAAAAAATGGAACTTTGCTAAAAATTTCGTTCGTAACTGATCAATCTCGTCTGAAAATTAAATCTAGCATAAGAACATACAACCGGAGAGATTGCGTGTGATTTATTTAATAAGGAAGTAAATCTATCTCATTAACAACCAAAACAAAGAGATTTCGTTACATTTATATTTATTTTCTCAAAACGATAGAGGTGTTATATTAATAAAAACCACACAACGTGCGAAGAGAAGCAGCCAGAGGCTAAATAGTACGACCGAAACTAGAAAAATTGGAGGCAGATCCAACGATCGCCTAAAGTCTGACCTTGCAACGCTAGAATAACAAAGCTCACAAACTACACCAACCAACAACACCGACAAAAACTAAAACCTAACAAGGCTCCCAACAGGAGAATACATGAGTGTTGGCTCCAAACAGGAGAATAAATTTGACACTCAGGTGCACAGAGGCCAAATGGCCCAAACAAAAAATACAAGACTCAAGAACAACACTAACACGAACTCAAACGAAACAGAAACAAAAAAACTAAATAGATACTAATAGAATATGTCCTTCCCCAGCCAACATACGAGCCCAAAACCAATAGACAAACAGTCGGTCCAAGAAGATCCCAAGCCCGAGGAATTGCTACTGAAACCACAATACCGCCTATACAGCAACCGAACCCGAACTCCGAAACCATCTCAAATCAACCCACCACCAACCGAGAGAACAAGACCCTCCCCCAACACTAACGCAACCCAACCTCTTCTAACACCACTAGCAGAAATCAGGTGCACCGGACCCCGCCTGTCTCTAACACCAGAAAACCGAGGCGGGGGGGGTGGAGCAGTCTGGCCCTATAACCCCAGCTTTCTTGACATCGGGTATCTCGTCCACTAGGGACCCGCCCCGTCCGCAGGCCCTCACGCCACCCAACCTCCCCACAGTCCACCGGCAACAGGACACCAGCGCTACCACCGGAAGCACCCACAGCAGGGGCGACCAATGGGTCCCAATCACAGACAATAGGTAAATTGAGGGACAATACCACTCCAATCGAAGATCTGCCGGCGAGCAAAAGCCATCGAACTTAGATCTAGGGCCCACCACCCCAATCGGTATCTCGCTGACGACCGAGGACGGCGAGTCCATCTCCGACAATTGCAGCAATGCGGGAAGGATGAAGCCAACCTTTAGCACTAGATCCAAGAGTGATGGACGAAGCCACTTGTCATCATCTATGCAAAGGAAAATAAAGAATATGCTTTTGGAGATTCTTTCTTTTAGTTGCCCTAGAATAGCACATATATAAAGCATAGATTGTTGCACGGTAGCCGCAATCTTTGTGTACAAATTGTTTAATTTTTACCGAGTACAGAATCAAAGGATTCGTTACCCAGGTCGATCTCTCGAGGAAGGCGGTCTGGAATTTAGCTTTGTGATTGATAACACATAAAAGGAAAGCAAATCCTAAACATTCTAACAAGGAGATTGGAATTAATTATCAACTAAGAAATAACATAAAAACATAAATCCTAAAATACCAACTAGATAATGATAAAGAAGCTATGGAATCGGGGATAATTTATTCAAGCTCGAAACGTAAAGCCATACAATTGATCGTTCGGTTCAGAATTGACACTCTCGCCTAAACATATAGCGGTTCGCTCCTAATAACTCTTCGTAACAAGGGATTGAACATAAACGAAAAAGCTCGAGCATACAACACAAGCCAATTACCCCAATCCCAATAAATTTTCGTAACCAGGGACGGGTCATCGACAAGCACGTATTTCAATCCAAACCTATAGATTATCCAATTATGAAATCATCTACCTCATGCGAGCCTAGGTCTACGACTTCTCCCCTTTCGGTTCTAAAAGTCACTAATTCAATTAGAAAAGTATTAATCAACTAACCATTTAGAATCAACAAAACCCTAACTCGACTAATCAACATTCCATCGTTTCCAATTGCAAGATCAAAGTGTCATTCTTCGATTATATCAATCAATCAAACAAGAATTCATCAATTCCTAATCAAGTTAACTCGCACAAGAAAGGACAAATCAAGTCCGATAGATACGAGTTAAAACAAGAACAATCATCTCCTATCCCTAGCAATCGGAATTAGCTATGCGAATTGAATTCAAAACAATCAATCATTTCAACCCAAGCAATCAATTCCATCAATTAAATGAAGAAAATAACTTACGATTAATATGAATTTGAAAGTCGAATCCAATAATTCAAGCTTAATTCAAGAACAATGGTGTAATCCAAGATGAAGATTCAAAGTTTTCTAGAGAGAAAAAATGGTGAAAAACAAGTTTGGAGTTCAAAAATTAGGTCCGGGAACGAGTCCCCATGAAAGGTACTTGAAAAATCGAGCAAAATCGAAATTTATAAAAATCTGGTCGCGCAGAGGTTAGCGCCACTAACCCCTTAGCACCGCTAAGGTCGCCTGTGCAGTGGCCTCTGGGGGTCGTTAAGGGCCTTAGCGCCGCTAAAGACTGGAATAAGCGGCTTTGCGTTTCGGCTTCGTTTGAACTCGTTCGAACTCGAAATTGAGTGTCGTTTTTTTCCTACGCGTCGCCAACGAACTTTTCTAGTCAATTATTCTTTCCCATCAAATATTTTCCTTAAATCCTAATCTCCCAAAGCTCATAACATGCACACCAAAAACGTGCTTCGTGCGACTTCGCCTTTTAGGCTCGTTTGAGCTCGTCCGACCTTGGAATTGAGTTTCGCTTTTTCCTACTTGTCGCCAACGAACCCGTCTATACAACCAAGATTGCCCGGTCAATTTTCGGGCTAAATCTATTCCTCATGGGGCTTCCGACCTGCACACCAAAAATGAAAGAGAACGGGAAAAACACACGAGAAACAAAAGAAGTACCAAATAGAGAAAAACATGAAATAAATTGCAAAATAAACTAAAAACCAACTAAAGACCTAATATGGAGGTAAAAGAAAGACAAAATGACAACGAAAAATACAACAAAAGTAGGACAAACATACATCATTGTAAATTTCTGGATCTATGAGTTTCATTGAATGAGAATGGAGATATTTGTTCATGCAACAATGTTTATTTCCCTTTACATTTTATCTAGTTTTTCCAACAAATATTAGGGGCGAGATCCGATCCGTATAGGTGGTAGGCGTGTGTGTCGTGGTCGTGATTTGCTTGGTACTTTATCCGTCTGCGGGAAGGGCTTAATCTTTTGTTGTTAGGTTGTGTTTGTATGTATGTCATTTTTCTCTGTATTTCGGTTTTGTTATGGTGGTTCGTGTGTTTTAGTTTTATTATCCCATTAAGATCTGTGTATTGAGAGTTTATGTTATTGTGGGTGTGTTGTGATACCTAGGCTCTCGTATGAGATGTCCTCCTCCGACTAAATTCAACTTTTGGCCGATTTCTAAATATAATTATGTGTTATTTTCTTGTTATGATAGTCTATTGTTTGAATGAAAAAAGAAAATAATAAAAATAAAATAATAAAAAAAATATATATCTTCGGGCTTAAAATAAAAGAAACAAAAAAGTGAAGTGGGCATTTGTAATTTTGAATGCTGCCAGCTCCTCAAGAAAACTTAGAAAGAACAAAAGGGAAATAAAATAAACAAAAAAGTGAAGTGGGCATTTGTAATTTTGAATGCTGCCAGCTCCTCAAGAAAACTTAGAAAGTACAAAAGGGAAACAGATCCAAGCAGCAAAATAGAAAATCATATTTCATAACTTAACTAAGCAACCAACATTCAAGCCAACCAAAACACCAGCTTGGCTTCCGTGCAAACACAAAATATGAAAACGGCACACGGACAAGCGAAACCGGGTTCGACTGATAATTCTTAGATGCAGACCACAAGTCAGAGGTTCTGCACTCGACAAAATAAGCAAACACAAAACGGCAGTTAAAATCCTAATATGGTTTTCTAGCAGAAAAACATGGAGTTGCGGACACTCTCCTTGAGAGTGGGCATGGGGACCACAGCCGGCACAGACCCATTATGGCTCGAAGATGTCTCGGATTTCTCTTCGAATTTCATCCACTGTCCTAGCTGGGTGGCCGCCAGGTGGGCGTAGCAAATGGGGGCAACTATCAAGAAAAAAA